TGCAAAATTTCTTTTCTTAAATGAAATTATTATAGATTGAAAACTAACGCCTTTTCTATACAATTAAGTTTACTTAGTCAATCAAAATTCAAGGAAACTCAATACTTCGTTGCAAGAACGTACATTAAGTTTTAAGAGATTGTTTAGCTTTCGATCTTTCATCCTTTTAGAAAAAGTTGTACCTAAGCGAAAAAATCGAACCAGGTTGGTGTAGTTTGATGAGGTTTGAGAAAAAAAGAAGTATATAAATTTTACAAATTATAAAATTTAAACAGGAACACATTAAGAAGTGATATATAAATAGACTTAGATATAACCAGAGTGAAGTTAGAGAAACAATTTCTTAATATTTTTAAAGGTCCTTGAATTTATAATATTTTTGAAAAAAAAGTGAAGACAGAACTGCCTGACGATTATATATCTTTGAAAAAAAAAAAACGAATAGAGAATTGTGTCGCGTTTTAAAACGAGTAAGTAGATTGTTGTTTAATTATTACTCACAAAATATTTACGAGAGTAACTGTATACAAAATTCAGTTGCATTTTGGGTGATTTAGCAGTTCTTATTGATTTACAATCTTTATTCTCAGTGAGGGTAGAAAAATTCTGTGCGAGCTTCCATAGATAACCTTTATCACTCAAGTGTCACCTTTAGTACTCAAATAATTTATGAACGTTCGAGGTGTACTTTACGTTTTCTTAATCTGTTGGAACAGTGTCGGAAAAAAGGCATGACCTTTTATCACTAAAACTAAGATTAAAATTTTTATGAAAACTAAGAAATAAGATTCGTATTGAAAACATTTTTAACATATTTTGAAATTAAAAATTGGAAAAATAGAAAAGAAAAGAAACTTTCCTGAGAAAAATTGTCAATACTGTGGTGCGAAAAATTGTAATAACCCGAAATTTATTTTGAAGTAGAATATTTACTTAGTCGTTCACTAATTACGTAATATTTCGATGATATTTTTTGGGGGATTATTTTAATGTTAGAATCAAAACAAAACATTTACAATTTATCAGTATAAGTGTTGAATCTTTCTAACATATAAGAAAAGAGAAATTAATAAGAAAATTATAAATGTTCAAATTTGGTCGATAATATTAATGAATTTAAGCAACAGAATTGGTTTAATTGGTTTTTCAAGAAAACCAATTAATCACATTTTACAGATAGTGCATTTATTCTGTATTTGACAAGCATTTAACTCGTCATTTAATAGATTATTTGATCTAAAAAAAAAAAATGTAAGTATTTTAAAATTTTAAAATTTTCCAAACAATTGCCATTGCTGATTAATCGAAATTTAACACTAATTGTGCGCGTATCTATATAAATCTGAACCGAAAATCACGAAATTGTGAAGGTAATTCACTACACTAAAAACAGATGTATATTGTATAAAAATTATCTGTCGGTACATAACGTCGTAAATACAAATTCTGCTTTGCATTGCATGTTACATGCAAATTCTGTTCTACATATATGATTTGCAAGCCAAAACAGTAATCCCCAAAGTGTATCTCTTTCTCTTCTTCTGGCATTTTCACACGTGTACCTGACAGTCTATTAAAACAAAAATACGGCGGAACACCATTTATTTGAATTCCATTTATTGAAATGAAATTTTATTGAATTGCCAGTCGATTGGACTCTTGCTAATTGAATTCGTTTATCTGACCGTTGGTGAACTCCCATTATCGAGAAATCATAAATATTGAGGAAAGTTTGTAATCTCTTGTTATACACAATTCCAATTTTGCAGGATGATTCAACGTACAAACTGATTCAATACTTTAGAAAGAGGAGGAAATCTAATAACATCATATGAACATTCTTATATATATATATATATATGTACCTTAGTTTTCAAATTGTAAATGATTTCAAAAAAAAAAAAAAAAAACATTCGAAATGATCATCTCGTACTTACACATTTGAATTCATTTCATGTCGAAGATCATGTACGCCAGAATCGGCTAACTGGCAGCCCGTGAGCTCTTGCCCCTAGTTTCCTGATCGTTAGCGCTACCCCCTCCACTGCATCGATCTCTCCACTATATTGAAATTTCCTCACACTCTTATGCAGCGGAGGGGGTAGCCCTAACGATCAGGAAAGTAGGGGCAAGGGCTCACGGGCCGCCACTTAGCCGGCTCTAACGTACACTATCCACTTGTGTGACATATTTCAATGATAAAAGCTACGAAAAATTTCTAACTTTATATATAAACTAAAAATAAAGCTAAAAATAAACTCCAATTGTATACACAAACTAAAACTAAAAATATGAAAACTTCTTTACGAATTCGATTAATATTTCGACTTTGATTTTTAATTGAAATGTTAAATCACTTTGAATGCTTTACAGTCTCCTAGAAAGTCTCTTTCCTTTCTTGGGAAATAAAATTTAAAATTTGTAATGAGACCTTTATTATGTAGATCTCGAGGAATATTTACCTTCTTCTCACGATCCTTTTCAAACTTGAAGCGAAGAGAAGAAAAATCAAAGATTTTTAATTTTTACGTGAAATATATCGAGCAAGTACGCAGGATTTTTGCAAAATATTTAGAACTTTTCTGCTACAGACGTTTTTATAAACGATGTTTTCATCAAAAATTAAACTTTGTATTCAAACGCGTGCAATTTTCATAAACGTTAATTTTTTTTTTAAATACTATGTACTTCCCAGTGTAGAAATTAAACCTAAAAATCGTTTGCTTTTCTGTGTAACTGGAATCGTGTGTTTGTAATTTACGCTACAAAAAGGAATAGCATCGAAAATAATATTGTATTAAGACAATTCCAGCCCAGTTTATAAAAAAGAAGAAAAAGTACAGAAATGGCTCCTCAAGTTTACATTATTCTAATATTCTTTTAATTTCATTTTAATTTTCATTTCAATTCTTCAAGAAAAAAATCGCAAACGATTATTATTAATTCAAGATTTCCGAGCTCCTAAATATAAATTGCCTAGCTCGAAAATATAAAATTAATGCTACAGACGCAATTCCCTTTGTCTCGACATATTTTCGATGAAAATATTTTCCAAAGTACTGAAAGATTCAAAATTCTCAACGCGTACCAGGTTCGCCAAAACAGAATATTTCGAAGAGTGAAGATCGGTTGTATAGTCGGAAGCTTACTCTACTAAAGTTACACTTTATGAAACGAAAAAAAAAAAAACAAAAAGAAAGGGAAAGAAGTAAGAAATTGGCAGATAAGTTTTCTAGACACGTTCCTACGTGGTATAAATTTCAGGCATACGTTCCGCATAATATGAAGGTCTTCGAGCGCTTTATGCAACGAGAATTAACTGTAGAGTTTCGCATGCGGTCGAGTGGCTCCCTGAACGATGCAACGCTTGCAATGGAACACCATCTCTTAGTAAGATACTGCGAAATTCATCTATAAATGAGACTGGGTGCACGCAAATCGGACAAGATACGATACGGACTTAACTTTGACATTGTGCTACGAATTGCGAAACTGTAAATCAGTTCTGTTGTACAGAATAAGCAAGATTCCTTTTAAAACTTCCTTCTTTTCTTTTTTTTTTTCTTCTTTTTTCTTTCTATTCGTTTGGCCATTGGCCATTGTAGTCGGGGGGCTTAAAATTAAATTATTTACATTAATCTCCTAAACTAATGACTTTTTAACATAAATAGGTTAATACCTTTTTTGTGAAGAATATCAAGGTGCAATAAAAAATATATGATTCTATTTAAAAAAAATGCTAATGACCTTCATATGACCTCTACACGTCCATCTACAAGAAAACGAGTATCATCAAAATGTGCCCCTCTCGAAACCATTCAACCTCATCTGAAACATTTTACGCGTAATAATAGTGACATGAGTCTACTTGACAAATAGTTTTTAACAAATTAAAAACAAAATGTAGTTTTTAGAGAAATAAAGTAAAAGAATAGTAATTATAATAACGTAACTCAAAGGGAAAGTGCCATTATTCATTATTCAACTTACGATACAAAAATTGACTCTTATTTTCTGTTGACATTAAAAACTTTAATTTGCGAATTCTTAGAACTCACTATTTTGACAATAAACTCATTCTTTTTCTAATTTTAGACTCGTGGCATTCATCAATCGAGGAGCTTACATTTGCTAAAAAGAAATTTTATAGCAAACTTCAGTACGTAGATAAACAAAGTGATCCAATAAGAATTAGCACTGCTGTTTTCAAAGATAGAAGAAAATGTTATGAATAAAAATCGCTCGATATAGAAAAGGGTGTGATACGGTAGTAATTTTTTTTTTTTTTTCGTCGTTGATAGAGATTTCAAGCTCATCTCCACGTTTCTAAAGGGATCCATTTTTCAATCTATTAACCGATACAAATCGACATTGTCTGTAAAAAATAAAAAAATAAAAAATACCAACCTATATATGTCAAAAAATTATTAACTCTTTTACTGCCAGCAGGCATGTGTATACATTTATGCGAAAACTGCCACGGGCCGATATCGTTTGTTTACGTTCAAATATCTTTCACAAAAACGTATATGTCAAATCGGCCCTGGCAGTTTTCGCATTTCAGGCAATAAAAAGATTAACTGGGAAGATATTTCAACTTGAATTCTGTAAACTTTCGAAAGACAGGGAAAAGGAATTTACATCGTTCTTGTTCTTCATGCAGCCGATTTTATAAAACTGAAGTTGAAATATATCCTGACGTAAGCTAGTAACTGTTCGGTATACTGTGGGTTAATACTTTTTTGTAAAGAATCTCGAGGTGTATTGATTGAACATAAAAAAAAAAAAATATGTACGCTTCTCTTAATATTTGAAAAATGTGGAGGTGTCCTTGAAATCGTCAGAATCACTTTTTAATCAATTTTTTTCAAACGTACTTATATTTACAATAAATATTTTGTAACCTCGTGTGTTCATTTCCGAATTTGTTCCGAATTTTCATGGACCATTGTACATGAATAAAAAAAAATGCTCGAGTAAACGGAAATTTTGTGTTTCAGAAAACTGGAGAACCCGAGTGACAACGTTTCGGAGGCAATTAGTAGTCAAAGGTAATCACCAATAATTTACTCTATAAATTGCTCAACGAAATCCAAAACAAAAAGAAGAGAAGAACTCGAAGTTGGGCCCTTAATCGAGAATCGAAAGTTCTCCGTGGTCAAGAGGTCAGAACCCCATTTTATTCGCGAGGAAACTTTCTGTTGAGAGCCTGGTTAATGCATAAACGCGAGCATTAAACGAGCGGGAAAATCCTCGTTGACGAGATGGATCGTTGCGCGGTGAAACTTTGGCACACTCCGTGTAACATGTTATCCTATATATATACAAAAAAAAAAAAAAAAAAAACAGCAAACTAAAATACCATCCCCGAGAATAATTTTTTCTTATAACCATGTAATTGCATCGCGGGGAATATCGTAACAACGCACAATGTCGGAACAGGGAGATAACTTACGGTAAACGAGAAAGATGCGCACATGAGAATTTATGGGGCAATTTAAATTGAAGAGCAAGAGATAGACATACAAACGTATAAAAAGGCATACATTAAAAAATATTTAAAAATATTTCGAAAGTACCTTAAGAATATTTCGAAAAAATTGGATGCCTTCAAAAAATACTCGAAAAAAAAAAATTGACGATTGAAATTCGTAATTAATAATGAAAGTTAAGCTATTAAATGCACTAGATGTTAACAACTTGCAAAATATTATTATCGTGTAGTTATTCGAATATTTCTGTCGCGCGGAAATTGGATAGAATCTCATTTCGTTTTTGTTATCGTTCAATTACGTTACGTTAACTAAAAGACTTTGTACATATCTCAAACTATGACGGGGATAAATGATGTATCAGCAGAGACAGTTTCGATCTTATTTTCTCCGTAATTAGGAAAAATATGAATCGTTGGAGCGAAATGTACGTTTGGTGTTCGAATATTTTCACGTAGACTTCTTGAGGTCGAAATACGAGAGAAACTCGACGAGGAATGATTTATCGCGGAAGGAAAATTCCACCTTTCGCGAGAGTTAGAATTCACAAAATTCCAGGCTCCCACGCTTCCACTGCTACTTAAAATCTTAATGCAGCTTGCGAATGGAAAATTTAAAATCTGCATTGTGACGTTGCTTCCTCTATAGGATCGTTCATGGTGGATTTTATTTGAAATTAACGTCCGGCAATATTTCAATTGGCGTCTCTGCTTATCTAAAATTTTGATGCAGACTATAAAGAAAGTGAAATGGCGTTGCGATGGCATTTTCTTCACGTTGTTCATAGCGAATTTTATTTGAAAGTGATGTCTCAATTGGCGTTTCCATTATTAAAAATTTCAATGTACAATATAAAGGAAAATGAAAAAGCTTTACTACGGTATTTCCCGACATATTTTTTATAAAAAATATATACTATAATAGATAAATAATAAATAATAAATATATACCATAACAGATTATAAAATATATTACAATAATAATATATTTTTTTATAAAAAATATATTATTATTCTTTACAGTGATTGCTGTTACTTAAAAGATAATAGATTGTTGTCCTCGGTATTTAAAACTTTAAATGTAGAAGAACAAAGTCCTTGAAACTTTAGTCCTTGAAGTTTAAAAATAATTTAAAAATAATATAGTGTAACTGAAATAATTAATTAAATGACAAATTGTAATGATGAAATCTTTTAATTAAATTCCCTACTTCTTTAGAACGCGAGCTTTCAAAGAAGAATGTCATTATAATTATAATTCGTTTAAGAAGGCCCTTAATGAAAAGTTTCCGTGAATTTGAATTTTAAAATTTGTATTTTGAATGAATATATTGAACTGTTTTCACAAATAAACTCTTCCGAACGATGGAAATAAACAAACGCGCTTCAATTAGAATATCAGGACTCGTTCGTTAATTGGTATTACAGCAAGTATTAGAGAAAGTGACCTGTCATCGAACCTTCGAGCCAGAAAACTAATTAACAGCGAACACGGTTCTCGTGTTTAGTTAAAAAAAAAAAAAAAAAAAAAGGACTCGCGACAAAACAGCCAGCAACCTTCGAACTTGCCCGTCGGTTTAATTAAACCTTGTCCAAAAAAAAAAAACAAAAAAAAACCATTCAAACGTACCAAGTGTCTCGAAGCGAACGACGTGTACATATTTATAACTTGTTCGACCAAACAAACGCTGACAATCTTTCGGAAACTTGCTATGTTCCCTGTCGAAAAGCTGACGTTGTTTTTGAGTTCAACTCTCTTTTTCTCTCGAGCACGGGAAAATAATGTTTTTCGAAGTTTCCACGATCCGTGTGCCCTTTTTGTACGCGCGTTCGTGTCAGAGTAAACTCTTCAGATACTTTCGAAGAATAATATTTAGAGCGAGTTCGCCTGCTCTGACTCTGATTGCAGAAACCTCGTAGCGATGTGGTTTTGGATTGAACTCTGGAATAAACATCCGGTGGCGCATCAATCAGCAATTTCGAGATTACTGCGTATTATAGAGATCAATGGGATTATTAGCAGCGTTCTCATCATCGCTCGGTTGCCCGATCGAAACCGCATGATCGAAAAATCTCTTTAATTGGTGCAATCCCTTTAATCTTTTCACCGTGGATTAAAATGATAATACACTATTATACGAGCAGCTTCACTTGCCAAAATCGACTAGCTCCACCGTTTTTTTAAATTCTCTTCTAAATTTTAGAGCATTGAAGCACTAGATTGATTCAATTTTTTATATTCAAAATAAATTCCCTTAATTAGATTTAACACCACTGATCGTATCTTTTTTCCTTTTCGACCTGAATAATAAATAATTTATTTCAGAAGTCAATTTGATTAACTCTAACGCAATTCAAACGTTCGTAACAATTTAATTAGTTAAGTAATTTTTTAATACAATGATATTCATTAGAATAATGGCAAAATGTTTGGTGTTATTTCTATTAGAAAAGAAAGACACATTTTCTATTAGAAAATTATTCTTTTAAAGATTGTAAACTATTCACAGGCATTTCAACCCTTTTTCTATTCACCGTCTATAAGAAAATGAATTTCTATTTACGCAAAAATATGCATAAATATTGCTTTCTCTCACTCAACGAGAATCGAAGTATCATTATCAAAAATAACAATCAGTATTGTTGCAGCAGTATTAAATAGTAGCACACATCCTCGAATATCAAGTATAGTACGTGACAGAATAACAAATCTCGAGCGTCAATATCAGGCAATCAGTATTATATAGAGCGGAGTAGCATACACGAATATTAACTCACGAGCAATCAAGATTCGAGTAATCAACATGCTAACATTCGATTCACATAAAGTTTCTTCAGTTCTCTGAGGAGCTCAAAGGAGGAGTACAAAATGGCTAACAAACATCTCTTTGTCACTGTACTGTCGTGTCAAATCAGAATCTAGACTATAATCGGTAATTTTCGCTTGAAATGAATATAATGATTATTGGTGACGAAAAAATTCTTCCTGTATATTTATAACTTATAGCCGATAACTGTTTGGAATAGTCGAAGTAAATAATCTCTCGTCAATAATTAGCAACGAAAAAATTTTATAATCGTATTTGAAATCATTATTTGTAATCAAAAGCACTTTAGTCAAAAAAGATAACTACTACCTTACGCCTCTTATGCTATTCTATTTATAACAGTCATGATCCCTGGTCAGAAGGATTGTCGCGAAGATACGGATTAACCACTTGCGCTGGCAACTGATTGCGGACCATAACGAGTGACCAAACTGTGTACAATAATTCGTCGCTTTCTCTTTATACTCGTCGGTATTATATCACTGGATAGAAATTATTGAGAAGTAATAAATTTATTACTTGTTTTGCCTGGGTTATATTTAAATATACTTAAAAACCGAGAAAAATATTGCAATTTTGGGAAAAAAAATTCTCGACTTGCGTGGCACGTCATTCCAACGCAAGAAGTACAATTTGCGCTGGCAACTGTTTGCGGACCATAACGAGTGACCAAACTGTATACAATAATTCGTCGCTTTCTCTTCGAACTCGTCGGTATATCACTGGATAGAAATTATTGAGAAGTAATAAATTTATTACTTGTTTTGCCTGGGTTATATTTAAATATATTTAAAAACCGAGAAAAATATTGCAATTTTGGGAAAAAAAATTCTCGACTTGCGTGGCACGTCATTCCAACGCAAGAGATACCACTTGCGCTGGCAACTGATTGCGGACCATAACGAGTGACCGAACCGTATACAATAATTTGTCGCTTTCTATTTGAACTCGTCGGTATGATATCACTGGATAGAAATTATTGAGAAGTAATAAATTTATTACTTGTTTTGCCTGGGTTATATTTAAATATACTTAAAAACCGAGAAAAATATTGCAATTTTGGGAAAAAAAAATTCTCGTCGTGCGTCATTCCAGCGCAAGAGGTTAACAATTACATTTCAGAGTTGACAGAGCGCAATTGACGATTGAACGGAAACATTTCAGCGATTGAAAAGATCTAACTGGTGTTGTATAAAATTGCCGCTGTTTACACTGATTCGAGTAGTAAGTGACGCACGCGATGGTGATGAATTTTGAAGGGTGGCGCTTACATCGCCTGGGAAAATATTAGCACTTTCCAACGAAGGGGGATAACTCGAGAGGTGAACTCGAAGCTCGTTGAAAATCGATCGATGAAACGTACATTGATACAACATGCCTGGCATCCTACGAGTACGTGCGCGTATCTGCTCAGGCAGGAAATCCCAATGGAATTATTAACTGGCGTAACCGTCGACGCGAATGAGAGCTGCGAGCAAACAACGACCAACAAAAATTAACGACGATTGTTCGCGCGATATGTATAATTGTATCCGGTGTGTGACGCTCATACGGCGCAGCGAACCGTATCTCTTTCCCTCTGTTTGTTGCCGCGCGGGGGCTAAACGAGCCGCGAAACTCGTCGAGGGAACAGAGAGAATATAATCACGCGTGATAATTTCGCAACGTGTAGACGCTCGACACGTTCGTTGTAGCGTTCGACGTCACTCGTTTTTCTTTTCGACGATTTGTATTGTTTAATGAAAATACGCTTCTTCTGTTCCGTACAGGGTGTACAAGAAATCATCGCCGAACAATAAGCTCACTCTTTATTTGGCGAGCAGAGATCTGACCGTGAGCGAGGCGAAAATCGATAGACTTCAAGGCGTGCTGCTGGTCGATCCTGACTTTTTGCAGGACAAAAGGGTGAGTTTCCGAGTTGTTTCGATTTGCAGTTCGGGAGTTCTATCACTATCAACTGTTATGCTCTGTTCAACATCGTGGACAGAGCATAACAGTTGTTCAGCCTCGTGATCGACCTCATAGTTTTATTTAAACTCTCAAATTAATTTTTGCTTCCTCAAAATACAATGTCATACATGAAATTGATTCTTAAATCAATGAACAAACAATCATTGTAAGAATGCATATTATTATATTTGGAAGGATCTGCAGATCCTTGTCATATCATATAAATAATATTTGTACAACTTCTACAGTTGAAAGCACAAAAACATTCCTCTTGCAATTTTTTTCTCACAAAAACTGACAATGAGTGGGAAAAGAAACGATTTTCATTTTCAACGTACAAGAATTACTTTATTTTTACTTTGTTAATTATTTTATTTATATTGTAAGTTAATCGAGCATCGAGAAAGAACCAAAGTACACGCTCAGCTTTGAATAACACGTAGAAAATCGTTCGTAAACAGAGCTTCGCGTTGTTTTACTTCGATAATAAAGTTGGTCCGCAAGCCTAATTTCTCGGGAATTCTACCTCTCCGGTCTTAATTTCATCGACGCCCTTTCCACGACACCTTTTCGTCGAACTTAATTAAAGATACTTTCCAAGTTATCCCGTGGGCAATTTATACAAGAAGCTGAAAGAAGACGAGAAGAAGCTGGCGACCCCTAAAACGACATCCTCCGATACACTTTGGATAACTCGATGCATAAACCGTATTATGTAAATATCTTTTTCATCCATCGGTAAGAAGTTCCCGCGTCGCCTGAAATTTTATTTATCTAGAAATTATCTTGATAATCCGATAACTTTCGAATCGATAATATTCATGAACCTAAAGTTTAGCAATTCTTACTTATATTCAGCTTATTGCATTGGTTTGGGAAATTTCAATTTTTAAGTGTAAGTAGATTACACTTGACCGACGACGAAAATGATTTAAATCAAGAGACTAAAAGATTCGATTTTATCACTCATTTTGTGTTTATTTAAATTCATTTATGTTAATTTAAATTATTAACACAATGTGTTAACTATTCTCTATAAAATGGCAACTATTAAACTAATTGTTGAGTTGTTAACAGAATCATATTAGTATCTATGTATTTTGACAGTGGTCTGTCAATATGTACAGGGTGTTCCATTTAAAGTGATTCAAGCAATCAATCTCCTATCATATATGACTATTCGTCATGAAAGAAAAAAATATATCAAGCGAAATTCGCTTTGTTTCGAGGGGGGCATTTTATGATGGCCATAAATCTTACTCAGGCGAACGTGCCAAGATTTCAGGATGATCTTCGTTTTCTTAAATGGAACTATACATTTTTATTCAGATCAGGAGAAAATGTAAAAAATGGATGGATAAACGATGGATTTATTTCCATATATATTCTGCCAAATTTATCAAGAATATTTTAATTTCTTCTGTGTCAATTTGTCACACTATCCATATAAATGATATATTATACTTTTATTTCTATTTTCAATAACAAAATATGCTGTCGAAGTTGTAAATAATATTTGTTTTCAAGTTCCATTGCAAACAGTACAGATCTTTTAATTGTTATTATAGTAAACAATTGTACAGTCAATACACCACGTTTTCGAAGATACATATAGGTATTTATAGTTTAATTGTAACATAATTATGACAAATCTAAAATAAATGATCGTCAGGAAGTAAGTTACGCGCGACTTAGATACGTGAGAGTAGGATTTGCGCGAATTTTACACGCGAAGAATTCAACCATTTATTTTTTCGTATTTTTTAACTTTTTGTTCTTTCAACATTAATTTTTTAGCGTTTATGTCAATTTGATACCAAGTTGGAAAAATACGAGACGAAATGAGGGTTAAACGAGCTCGAAACATCAAGAACTGAAAACTCTAATTCGAAGAAGAAGAAGAAGAAGAAAACCAAAAATGATGAATAATTGCAAAATGTAAATAAAGACGTTTCTTTCTAACATTTTAAATAAAATCTCTTACTTCCTTTCAAGTTCACTTTTCAGACATTTCATGAATTTTGAAAGTCATTTGAAGTTTCAAGAAGTCACGCATCGAATTTGACAGTCATAGAAAAGAGAGAATGTTCGTTGCACACTAAACTATTTCTTGATACAGTCGATTACGAAACTTTAAATATCTGGAAAAACGCGAAATGTATGGCTTACAATTTTGGACTACAGATATTAGAACACCGACGAGCTCAAAACGCAATTAGTTCTCACGTCAGCTATAATTTTCATTCATCGTCAGGACTTGTCACGCGTAGTCGTTCAAGAAAAATCATTGCAATTCTATCGTGCGGTAATTTCAAAAATGTTTGTGCAATTATCGAGCAAGAACGGAATAATGCTCACGGAATACTAACGAACCAAATTTCGACTTTTACATAGTTTTAACAAATTCAAAAGCCATTGCCCTATTTACTAATGATGCATGCGGTGGGCGTCGTTTCAGGTGTACGGGCAAATCACGTTGACGTTCCGCTACGGAAGGGAAGACGAGGAAGTAATGGGACTGAAATTCTGTAACGAGGCAGTTATGTGCCTCGCGCAATTGTACCCGCCATATTCCGGCGCTGATCAACAAGAAACAACCCCGTTGCAGGTTTGTGCGCAATGATAATTAACCGCTTGCGCTGGCAACTGGTTGCGCGGACCATAACGAGTGACCGAGCCGTATACAACAATTCGTCGCTTTCTTTTTCTTTTGAGAACTCGTCGGTACGATATCGCCGGATAGAAATTATTACTATACTTGTCTATTTGTTTTGCCTGAGTTGCGTTTAAATATACTTGAAAAAATGAGAGAATGTTGCAATTTGGGTGAAAAAATTCTCGACGTGCGTGGCACGTCATTCCAGCGCAAGAGGTTAAACATCTATCTCACTTAGCAAGGTCTATATTGGGAGGGGGACCGTGTATTTTGCTTTTGCGTTTAGAGAACGTTGTGACGTAAATTTAGAAAATCAGAGGAATCACCCCGTCGGGTGAGATTGAACGCGAGGGTGTTCATAAACTCGTGAAATCTTGTCCATCAACGTGACACACGGCGAGCCTGGGCTTGCGATCAATGAAAATTTAAATAAATTAAATAAAAGATAACTTTAAATAAATTAAATAAAAAATAAATTTAAATAAATTTAAATAAATCTAAATAAAGTTAAATAAATTAAATAAAGCCCTTGATCGAACAAACGCCCGGGTGGATGTTTGTTCGCAGACGTTTCAATAACATATCGTTGAATTCCGGAAAAACGAAAAAAAAAAAATAGAATCCCTCTGTGTATTGTTGACAGCAAAATTTCCGCACGATGAGAGATAAGAATCCCCCCGCCGATAGGGGATGATTTTTTTTCTCGACTAATTTGTCGAATTTTTCTGCTTAGAAAAAGTTTCTTTCTATTTCCATCTGCTCGAAGCGGAACACTGGAGATCAAAGGGTGATTATTGATAGAATGAAAATAAGATCGTGACGGTGCTAGGTTTCTCAGTCGATTGAACTATACAAGAGTTGCATTAGTCGAGATAACGGACGCGGCAGTCCAAGTTTGTAATCAATTAATGAAATAAGTTGCTCAACTTGGCGATCAATCTCGTGCTTCGATAATTAAGAACTTATCCACGCAACACCAATTGTAAACCGTGTCAGAGACTCGCACGCGCTTCCTCGAGCGTGTAACTCGTTCAAAGAAGCTTCGAGTCGTGTCAGGAATTTTCGAGATCGTTTGCGATTTTCAAGAAGTCCAAGTAATTTATGTTCGATGCTTTGGATAAAAACGAGTTTAGTATTTATACAAAATGGATCATATAAATCTAAATGTTGACAATATCACCAGCTATCGTTTGGTAAATTAGCTACGACCATCAATTGTAATTCAGAGAAAGAAAATGCAATTTTGTTATCTGTCGTTGCATAAAGAACACAGAAGAATGAAACGAGTATTTTTTTAACGAGTTTTTAAACAGGTTTCGGAACCATTATTTTTTTTAAATGGAATCTTATCTTCATAAAGTGCGAAAAGATACACTCAACGACCTCAACGATCATTTAATCTCGTGATATTTGCAACGCTTCTCAAAGATATAAATTATGCAATATTTATACAATACACATATTAATATTAATATATTTATATATTATTATATATTATTATTATATATAAATATATATTGTAATTATTATATATTTATATAATACATGAAACATATCTCAAAAATAAAGATATCCAAGTGATAAATCAATTTGTACGTTCGCTGTTCGGAAATTGTGGAAGAGTTATTCGTAAATGTATCGCGCATTGTCTGGAAATAACTGACTATACGGCTGAAGGGGTCGATTTTACAAACGTAATTCCCGTTTTCGGAATAGATATGAATGGCGACGTGCTTGGTCTGAATTGAAACGGCGAGGGAAACGAGCCGATATCGGAGGTCCTCGAGAAGTCTTCTGTATGGACAAGCAGGTGGTCGTCTATAAACGTCGCAGTAGAATAGGGAAGAATAGACAGACTACCGAGCAAAGTCTATAGAAACTGTTGAAGATGTCACAAAATGCCGTGCACTGGTTATGAGTTCTATGAGGCACGAATCTTTATAGATAATAATCCTTCTTTTGGCATTTTATGGATTTACATATTTACGAATCTTTGTAGATAATAATCCTTTTTTTGGCATTTTATGGATTTACATATTTACTTACTATTGGATATTTTCATGAACGTGACAGGATCTGAGCAGTGATTATTTTATATATATATATATTTATTGCATGGTAATAAAAGTCTAAATATATTAATTCTACAGTATTACAAAGTCTATGTAATAAATATATTAATTCTATAACAAAGTCTATATGATAAATTCAATTTAAATATATTTAATTGTAAATCAGTTTTAATAAATTAAAATCTATAGTACGTTGAATTATTTAAATTAAATTTCGAAAGTTTATCAATTTTCGTCAGTTCGCATGACCCTAAAAATTTGAAGATTTCAGTATGAAAATGAAATAAATCCATTCCCTCAAAAATGCCTCATTGGGAAATACTCTACTTATTATCGTTATAAAATAAAATTTTTCATTTAACTTATAAATTGCGATAACTCATAAATTGCAATAACAACAATTATTATTACATTATTTCATTTAACTCATAAAATGCAATAACAACAATTATTATTACAAATTGTAAACTTACCACAAATTTTTAACGCTTGTGAAAATTTCTCAATCATAATCGACCGCAATCATTATGGTTAAAGTGTGCAGCTCCATTATAAATATTTCTATTAGAGATTAGAATTTAATATTGTAATATTGTCTGAAACCTCTCTCTCTCTCTCTCTCTCTCTTTCTCTACTCTCTTTCACCGTTCGATCGAAAACTTATCTCTCGTAAAAAAATTAATATTAAATATCGATCAGAATTATCTGCTTTATCGTACAGGATGCTTTGCTCCGTGCATTTCCACGATGCACGCGCTTACGACGTGAATTCTTTTTTTTCTCTCTCTCTCTCTCTCTCTCGGTTGAATAGAGGAAGATTTCAAAGACGAGTTCAGCCAGGGTAACCTTTTAGAAGCAGCGACTAGAGCTTCTTCGGCGAGAGGTAAGCAGAGGAGGGTTGTTTCAGAACGGTTCGGTGCACGTTGTTCGGTGATGTCGCGCGTATCAGTTACAAGGCTTACGACCTATATAATGTGCATCCCGTGTTCCATAAGCTTAACGGTTCATTTCCGAGAGGATCAACGATCTATGTATCAGATCCCCTAACGCCTTGTTCGTTTAATGCTTTAAGCATTCTACCGCCTAGCTGTAACGAGCCGAACACGGTTACTGGTTCCGTGCGGAAAACGAAATTGATACGCGATCTCTTAATCCTCGACCACCAGCCGTGTATCAATATCAACGTACCTATTTCAATTCGAGATTTCTGTTCGATTGATTTTCAACGAACTTCGTCGTAATAGAGAATCTTTTTTCGAAAATGATCAATTTCACCCTCGACGTCGCCACTTCACTTTGAGAGCCTCCTTGATTCTCGACAGAAATCTCTCTACGAGAGAACGCGAAGCTTTGCGTGTTTTGCGCGCATATCGTCTTGCTTAAACAATTTTCAAGCAAGCAACGTCTTAATTAAGCATCCTCAAGGATATAGAAACGTAACCCTTTGACGATTCATGTTCCGTGCACGCAACATGAATTAATTATTAATTAATTAATGAATTTTGCCAGATCTTCAGAAATGTGACATCGAGTTATAGTATGTCGTATCTCCTTCAAGAAATATATATCTATTTCGAGTATTTGTGAGTAATTTTCTCTTAGAAATTAGAAATTTTAAAAAATGCACCTAATCTTGACATGATCTGTACAAGATTCGTAGCAATTTTTTGCAATTTTTTTTTTCCTCTTCAATGGAATGAAATTAAAATTAAAGGGAAAAGACAAAAGAGAATTACAATTTTTTTTGAAATCAGACGGCTATTTCAATAGCACTTCTTGGAAGCAGTAAAAAACGCTCGGGAAATAAACTAGATAATCAAGAGTGCTATTTGTCGTTGCCTACATTTAAAAGATACATTCCTCCTTCCGCTCAATATCAATGATATAATAGTTTCTTAATTTAAATAATTAAATATAGTATCTGCTCTGAGACTTTCAAGGAAAGATATACGTATACCCGTCTGATTGTTGAATTATATAATCATCATTACCATTATCACTACTGCCGTCCTGCAGATGTGTATTTCTTTCAATTGAGAGAAATCTCGTCCTCATTGTTACGACTTAAACGAGTAAGCAAATGCGTATTCAAACAACTGCTACGGCAACACAATATACAACAATGTCCAGTGAATCCCACTTTTCACATTGACACTGAAAATGGGTTATTCTATACTTAAATACCTATTCTGTAAGCTCAGCTATTGTGTATCTCACAATCAGTATCTTATACTGTCCATAACAGGACATTTTTAGAAATGTCACAGCAGACTACGTCGTCACATTCATTATTCCATTGACACGATGAAATATTGAACTATTATCTTACTTACGTTAAAAGATTAACGTTAGAACAATATTTTCTGTGTGATTTTGTAAATGACACATGACTCGATAAAATTAATATTATTAGGGAAACTTTGCAAGTGAATTCTTTTCTATAACAATAAGAAATTTAATAACGAAACAATAGTCAGTCGAGTAAAGTTTGCAAATTATAAAAATTATAGCAATTATAGAATGCTTTGTCAGTCAGTGAGGAAATTAAATGCGTCTGTCGATCAATTGATTAATTAAACGACAAAGGTATATCGTTACATGTTACATAAAAAAATTAAACCAAGTATCGAATGCAGAGTGTTTAAATCCTCGCGGTAACCGAATCCATTTTATTATTGATTGATATCGATCGCTGTTAAAAGCTTTCCAAGTCATACCCGGCAAATTTAGTCAGATCATACTTTTTTAACACGTTTGAAATGAATCCATTGGTCAGAAGGTCCGCCCGGAGAAAAGAGCTGCCCACCATTCACGAAAGTATATTCCCAACACTGCGAGTTTCCTCTCGTTTACATTCCTACCTTGGAATTATTTTATCCAGTTTTTAAAAGCAGA